GATAAATGACTATTGGCTTGCGACATCTATTTAAATTTTTTTGTAGAGAAAAAGAGTTGTTAAAAAATACTTAAATTATAATATTTGTCTCGTTTAAGATTTACTTTTTAGAAGTTATTTTTTCTCTAAAATTTTTCGGTAATATCCGTGGGCTCTGTAAAACCAAATAAAAGCGAAATGCAAATATTTTTGAAACATCTAGTAAAAGAACTTACACAACTTGAACGAATTGGTCTTCAATACACACCCATTTCTTCATCTAACTGTGTTGATCAAACTATTCGTGTATTTGTCATAGTAGCTACGTGTGATAGGCCAGCCACATCGTTAATTATTAATCATACAGAAGCTGGTGGTTACTATGGCTGCATTCATTGTAAGATAATAGGTGTGTAATGTTTAAATTAATAAATTGCATATTGTTTTGGTAAAGAAAATGAATTGAAAATATGACTTTTAATAGTAGTTTTTTGTGATACAAGTACGAAAAATATTCACAAACTAAATGATTCTGTCTTTTTAAGGTGAGAACATAAAGATTGGTGGTGATAATGCTCGAGTATTCGTGCAGAATGATAATGATGATTTTGAATTACGATCGAATGATACATATGATGAAGCTGTTGCACTATTACAAGTAAGGAGAAAATAGTTTACAAGCTCTCTATTGATATTTTCACAAAATTTTGCTTATTTTATAGCGATCATCAAGCGAGGAAAGACGTAATTCTATCACATCCATTAATGACGGATTAGACGGATTGCGTGGTCCGTGCGAATTACGCACATTAAAATATTTTGACGTTTATCAATCTATTTTATCAGATACTCTTCATACACTTTATGAAGGTGTAATGGTAAAAAGTTCAATTCAGAGTTTATTTGCATTTGTAGTAAAATTTAAACATATTTAGGCTCGTATGCTGCATATATTTTTTGATAGTGTTTCACGAAAAACTGGAATTACTCTATAAATGAGTATACGAGATGCTACAGATGCTGTATCAGCAATAGTTAAATCAATTTCATATCCATCTACTACGTATAGAGTTCCACGAGACTTAAAGCAATACAATATACACAAAGCGAATGAATATAAAATGTTGTTGCTATTTGGATATAAGTGAGTCATGCCCAATTCAGTTATTTATATTATCATCCTATTTCATTTTTATTTACAGTGCATTCGATCAAGTCTTGGATGAACAAAGATATGATCACTTCCGTTGTTTAGCATTTGCAGCTCACTTAATTGAATCATCAAAAATTGATCTTGCTACACATCAGGATGTACGAAGTCTTTTAGAAGAATTTAACAGAAAATTTGAATCTTTATATACGGTAAAGTTATAGATGTAATTTTTTCTTAGCATACGCATTTAGACTAATAGTATATTAGTCCTAACAGTACATTCTCATCGGTTATTATTATAGAAACAGCAAGCAAAGCCTGTTATTCACGCATTAAATCATTTTGCAGATAGTATTAGAAATTATGGACCAGCTTTTCGATATTCCACTTTTGAATTTGAAGCTACAATTGGTAAGTATATTCAATATTTTATGAGATTTATGTAAAGCTGAAGAATACTGAAAGCAGATACTAAACCGAATGGATAAGTTATTCAGATTCAAGAATTATTAAATCAAATTTGGTTTCTCATCAGAAAAAAATGGATGCTATATATGGAGTGAAATATTAATACTAATACAACGAAAGATCTTTATGTCGATAGAAAAATCTCATCATTATTTATTGTCACTTAATTATATTTCATCTTCATCTTGTTCTATTCTGTTCGCTTTCGGGATGACTATCCGACGCTAAACTGGATAAAAAATAATATTTGCTGCATCACTTCACTTCAATAGCAATACTATCAGTGTTCATCATTAGTAATAATATAAATTCTATAGTGAATTGAGAGATATTTTTGAATAACATATATACGTATATAGTATTTCATTAATTGTCTTAAATATATTGAAATAGAAATTTCTTCCTTCATATAATTTCTGCGATTTATTGCTGTCATAAAATATTTACATTGAATAAGATGTTTCTCCAGCTATAACGATAAATGCGAATTAATAAAATTATTTCTAAGCAACAAACTATATATTTATATTCTCATTTTCCTTATCTTTTGATACAGGTACACTCACTCGATTAATTCACAGTGGAAATAGTCCAACAATTGAATTGCTAAGAAACTTGGATCTCTTACAGCAAACGTGGCTAGCCACATCTGATTCATCTTTACCATCTGAACTGAAAATATTTGATTATCAAATTAATGCTAGTACGAGATATGCAATTCCTTCAAGATTGTCGCACCTAAATCAACATATTACTCGATTTCACAAAAAGGTTCATCTAGGTTCACTAGCTCCTGATGTTAAAAAATTTGTGACTAAATATACAGGTGGACAATCATACAATCTATATAAAACAGTATTTGTTGAACAACAACGATTCACATCTGATCGTATTGATATTTTTCGAAGGACACATGATGGGTGTTTAATGTACAATAGAAAGAATATACCAGCAATTGGTTTTTTGGAAACAATTATTTCTTTTGATAATGGTAATGAACCAGTTCTTGTTATTCGACCAGTCAGTTTACTTGCAACAGCAGACACCATGTCAATAAATCATCGAATATATAAATGTACTAACGTATTATATGGAACATATCATGGAACAACATTAGAAGTTACTAGTTTAGATTGTATTATTCAAAAGCTTGCTTTTCGACGTGGAATTAATGTCAAATTTCCTCCTATTCCTAATTCTATGTTTTTTTTTCAGTATCCCAATCGAAGTGGAAGTACTTAGCATTAATAAATTCATAGCTGTTTGCCTTACTTGAAATATATTGTTTTTTTTTGACAATAATGTTATATAATTCAGTTATAACGAGCAACTATTCTTATATTCATTCTGAATGCCTTAACTTGTTAAAATGAATGAATGTCGATGTTAAAACGCATTTATTAGTCTAATCTATCTATTTTGTACGTTAAAACACGTTCATTGACGTAATATTCTCGTGAACTCCGTGAAGATGCGTTATCAGCAAAAAAAAACTCGTTTACACTCATTGATTTCTTTTATTTGTCGAGTGAACGAGTTTTAAAGCAGTTTTTTCTTCACTTTTCATCATTAATGTGTCAAAACAACGTTTATGCCATTTATCTGTCTGCGTGGGTAGACGTTTTAGAAACTAAATATTGCAGAATACTAAGATTTTTACTGAGAAAAATTCTTTAATCGGAGTAAAGTGATTTTAATTGTAAAACAATTG